CGTCTCGTTCCGTTCTGTTCAGTTTTTGGGGATTTGGTGGGAAAAATGAATATGCATAGATAGCGCACACACAAGTGCACGCACAAAATAAAATATACAATGACCGAGCTAATTGTGCAAAAATGTGTGTGTTTTTCTGCAAATATTTTGTTAACAAATTTTGCGGCCATTTAAACCACAGAAATGCAATTAGCCATGAACGTAATTAACCGAACAAAATGAGGAATGCTAAGTGCTGGGGGGCCGGCGGCATTCCGGCATTATAAAACCACCAGAGAATGCGTTGAGAAATCAAAATTTAATTTTGATGTATTGTATATTGAAATATCACGCATACGCCAGGTGGGTCTCGGGGACTGGGGACGGGGGGACGGGGGGGAAAAATTGATGGCCAGAATGTCTTTGACACCTCAGCGGCGCGTCATTTCATGTTGATAAGGGTTCAATGTTTGAGGGTCTGCCAGGTCCGGGTACGGGTACGGGTACGGGTACGGATCCGGCAACGTGTCTGTGTTTGAGCGGAGCAACAAGTTTGTCAGGACCACACACAGATACGAGTACACAGGGGACAGGACAGGACAGGACAGGACAGGCAAGAAACTCCTGCCATTTCGGTTATCAAATTGAGCAAACAAAAGCCCGACCATGGCCAAAGTTTGTTTCAAAATTAATTGAAGGGACGCTCTGTACCGCTGTCCCACTGTCCCGCTGTCCCACTGTCGATGACAAAATTCATAGGACAGCGTACGTGCAACTGAGGGGCAGAAGCTGTCGACCACCTTTCACCTTTGACCGGAAACCTGATTCATCGACAACAACAACATCGGGACAGGGGAAAATTGTAACCCAAAAATGTAATTAAATTATGTGAGCTCTTCTTGTATTGGGGCTACCTACCAATGGAGTCCAGCCTTTAACTTGGTTAATTTCTGCCCGAGTTGAACTTTTATTACGCCTGTCGAGCAGGAAAATTGGTCGCTTGTGCATACCGTCGTCGTCCTACCTTGTATTGCTGTAATTGCCGTATTGACTGCACATGTTCTGGCGCCCCTCGACTTGGCCCATTGTCTCTGGCCCTTTGTCACCTGGTCGAGTGTGAATGCCTGGCATGCCTATGCCGGCATAAACTTGCGTCCATGAATGCCCAGAAGTTGAACTACTTATTTGCTTGCGAATGCTGCGATTCCCCAAACACCCTCTGAATGCAAATTTCCTGAATGGCAGAATACAGGGAATGAGGCTCTTCTGTTGCCCTTTAAGCTGCTTTGCCGATTTCTGACGTTCGGCTTACAGCATTTCAAACTTTTGGTTTAATGAAGTTCTTAGTCTTCGAACTGCATTCATAACTCTCTCTGATTGTCCAACCAATCGTTATTTATTTCCCATTGCATGGACAAATTTCTCCCATTTGGTCCATCAATCAATCAATTCATTCAGCCATGGCCCGTGTGGCCGGGCAACAAAAAGTTTGACTGCAAACAAATTGGGAATTTTAATAAAAATTCTTGCGCTAAATTACGCTCAACAATCACGGCCAAAGCGGTCACCTTTCCCGGACTACCAGGCTACCAGCCTCTAATCCCCACACCGCCCCCACTGGGAATTCCCAATCTCCCCATTGTCAATGTCCAACTGTTCGCTTAAGTGGTGTTAAGTATTTGAAAATCTCTGCTGCTCTGCTGCTCTGCTGCGCTGCTGCCCATCCCCCTCACCCCTCTGATGCTTTGCGGCCGCCTTCCGTTTTATTGTTTTACGACAGTTGGCCAAATACTTTGGCTAGCTAAAGTTTTGCCCTCATGGTCATCCAATTGTCTGTGATTTACGAAGGTTTCTCTCCACCATCCACCATCCCCCCATCCCCCATCCTCTATCCCACCCGCCCAGGAAGGCCCACCCGTCAGGAAGGCAGCCAGGCAGAACCCACAACCGAACAGAACTCCAGCGACATTTAGTGATATTGATTTATTGCTGCTCCCGTTTGGCAGCTCAAATCTGCTCGTAGCTCTCGATGACGCCGTGCGCGCGCACTGCCTTCAAGTCCCGGAGGCACTGCTCGACGGGTGTGACCACGCAGAGCGGCTTACGGCCACTGTAGTAGGCACTGCTGGGCCGGGCGTAGCTCACCTGGCGCTTGTCCAGCCAGGCGGTGATCTCGTCCAGGCACAGGCACTGCCAGGGATTCCCCTCGATGCTGATGTGCCGCAGCCGGAGCAGATACTGGGCTGCCTGGAGCGATGGCAGAAAGCTGAGGCGGTTATTGTTGATGTCCAGGCGGGAGAGGTGCTCGAAAGTCTCCAGCATGTCTTCCTCGATCTGCTCCAGTCGATTCTCGCCGATGGCGAGCACCTGCAGGCGTCGCAGGGGGGCGAACATGCGCACGTCCAGGGCCGTCAGCTTGTTGCCGCCGAGGCGCAGCTCTCGCAGATGGGGCAGGGCGGAGAGGGACAGCGGATGGAGCTCCACGATACTATTTCTGCTCAGATCCAGATGGGTGAGGCGTCCTAGAAGGGAGCCTCCAAAGACCCTGGCTCCCAGCTGCCTAATGCTATTCCTGCTCAAGTCGAGTCGTTGCAAGGCCGTCAGATTTGAGAATACTTCATCGGGCAGGGCCGAGATTTTGTTGCCCTGCAGTTGGAGGGACTCGAGGGCGCTCAGGCCCTGGAAGGCCCTCGGGTGGATCTTGCTGATTTGGTTTAGCCACAGATTGAGCGTCCTGAGGTCGCCCAGCTTGTCGAACACTGAATCCTCCAGGACTTTCACATTGTTGGAGCTGTAGTCGAGCAGCAGGAGCGGAGCTCGTCCGCTGGGACCCGTGAAAAGGCTTCCCTTGATCTCACAAAGGTTGTTGTTGGACACGTTGAGCAAGCGCAGCCGTGGCAGTGCCAGGAAGAGGCCCATGTCGAGGTTCTCCAGCCAATTGCTGTCCAGATGCAGCTCCTCCAGGTTGGGCAGTCCCCGCAGCCGGCGCCAAAGGAACTACACGAACGAAAAACGATAAAGATACTCCAGCTCCAGACAGCTTCTGCAGTGCTTTGTTCTTGGCGTCTACTTACGTCTCTCACGTTGTTGTTGCCGATGGAGAGGTAGCGAAGGTTCGCGATCTCCCCCAGGGTCACGTTCACCTGCTCATTGGTGGTCAGGTCGAGAAACTGCAGCTCCTTCAAGCCCCTGAAGGCATTCGGCTCCACCTCCGCTATCAGGTTGTTGGAGAAGTTGGCGTACACCAGATTTGGCAGTCGGTTCATCAGCTTCCCCGTGATCAGCCGTATGTCGTTGAAGCTCACGTCTAAGTTGCGCAGCGATGAGTTCTTGGGAAAGTGCTCCTCCTTGAGCTCTTCCAGCTGGCAGCGAGTCAGGTTGAGCCGTTCCAGCTGCCTGAGGTCCCGCAGGCCCCTCTCGCCCAGCGTCAGGCCACCCGACTCCGACAGATCCAAGTGCAGTAGCCTGGACAGGCACAGGTCTGGCAATGCCCTGGGATCGTCGCCCTCGATGCCGGTGTGCTCGTTGACCACCCTTACGCTCCGCCAATCGTCCTGCACGTATCCATTGAGCTGTTGGAGGCTTTCGATTTCGCGGCAGATGTGACTGCCCAACCCTAGATCTTCGCACTCCTGGAGATCCTTGGCTGTCGCCTCGAAGCAAATCAGGAGCAGCGCAAGCAGAAGCTTCAACGCCGGCATTCTGAGCACTAAACTGATGTTGCTCCGAACGGAGTTCTTGGCTTTGTGTTTATTTGTAATCCATCCAGCGCAAACCCGTTTCTGTTCGGCTCGGGCCAGGCAGAATGCCAACGATAAGCCGGTTTCCATTGGCGAACAAGTGCAGCCCATGCAAGGAGGAGAGCAGAGGGCAACCGTCCAGAGGTTACTGATCCGCAAGTGGACTCTATTCCATTCTCATTCTCCCCTCTACCGTCCCGACGGCGACGAGGCCTGGCCCGCTCAGGTCGGATGAGCATGGCGGAACTCTAGCGCTCTAGCGATTTTATTTACAATAATTAAAATATACAGCTACCGATCGGGGCGTGGCATGTCTTTTCGATAGGCAGAAAAATAAACGTACACTTTTTCACGGTTTTCGAACCCCACGATCCTCTCCATACATTTTGTAAGTCTTTGTAGGCCAAGCAATAATTTTTGTGCTATTTCCTTATATGTATGTACATTAGAGTGGATCGATTTGTAAGGCAATCCGCTATCCTCCTGGCTACGCCTTAATCTGAAGGCAACTCTGGATGCTGCTATCCGCCCAGGAGATACAGCAGTGGGTCGTTCGAAGCCAATGAAGTCCATAAGTCTCACCAATTCCAAAACTGCAAATCACTCGAGCACTAAAGACCGCACTATATGCAAAAGAAGGCTCTCGAAAATGGAAACTACCTCTTAAGACAGACATTAAAATTTAAGGTTTGCTTCAAAATTATTTCGTGATTCAATATTTTGTTTCCTGGTTGCGTTTTTGGTTGTCGTTTTTGATTTCAATCATCTCGTGCCTCTCGTGATTGAAGTTCACACAATTGCGACAATAAATCCATAAAATCAGGAACATATTTCCGATCACAGCCAGCCAGCGCACGTCTAGATCGATCCACAAATAGCTTAGAAAACTAATAACTAATATCTTCACATGGCTGGGGCTGTTCAAGGATTTGCTTCCGATCACAAAAAGCCATGGCACGCCCAGAACACAGGATACGCTGCTCTGGACGGCTCTGCATGGCTTCATGGGCGTTCAAGGCGCCCTGCTCCATTTGATTCTGGGCCCGCGTAGCTGTGGCTTCCGGCCAGCTTCCAATCTATGGAATCGTCAAGTTCCCGCAACGATCAATAGGGCTATCATAAGCATTCCTATAAGTCTAGCTGGCAATGAGAATCGATCGACTTGAGTTCAATTTGCCCTTAAGCCCTTGCAGGCATTTGGCTTCAAATCCGCTATGAGGTTGTAAGTCGAATCATGGGCTTCCCTGCGATGAGCTCCCGTTCAGGATGCCAACGCCCAGCTAGTTTCCATCCGAAGTTTTATTGGGGTATACAACATGAGTGAGAAGTGGAAAAGAGGGGAGAACAAAAGCTTAGATAAACCTATGGTGACCACATCTGAGATTATTTTCACCCCATGATGACAAATGGAGTTTCAAGAATATTATGGGGTTTTTCATGATTTGTTCCTTGGAAAGGCGATAAGATCTGACCACGACAGCTGACTCAACCGATTATCAGCTCTCAATTAATGTTCAAAGAACATGGCATCCTGTGAAGAAACAAAATGGGTTAACCACATCATTTGGGGGTACGTTAATACTCACAATCAGGAATGTGGCGCCGAGGAGGACCGCCTTCATACGCACATCCAGCTCCCTGGGAAAGCTGATGCCGAAGAAGTCGGCGTCCGTGAAGAATTCCCGCACCAGACCCGACCACTGCTTGGAGATCCTGCCCACCTTTGCGCCAGTCAGGGATACCACCTGCAGAACATAGCCATGAGTAGAAAATGAAATGAGAGTGCCCCCAACTAGTCGCTGCTTACATGAAAGTCCACGTTGCCCCACAGGGAACACGTGCAGAGCGGACCCTCGATGCGGTAGACCTTTTCGCCCAAGTGATTGAGTATGCGGAACGAGGGCCACCCCACGGACCACTCCTGCTCGATGGTGCCAATGACGTTACCGGGCGGCGCAAAGACCTCAATGCTCTGCAGGCAGCAGGGGAAGCAGCAGGCCGAGCAGGCCAGCGGACGGTGCATGTGGATGATCTCCCGAGGCGAGTTGTCCAGGATCCTCAGGTGGAAGGGCCGCGAGGTGGCGCAGCAGTTCCGGGTGCAGCAATCGCTATCCTCCACCGCGTAGAACACCTTCTGGCCGGATGCGTTGAGGATGGTGTACTTATTGCTGGTCTCGAAGCCGGTTAAGACTTCGGTTAGTTCCACTTTCTGCTTGACCAAGAGCTGGTCCACAATTGTCAGGTAGTCCAGTCCGTATGGTGCATTGGGGTTCTGCGGATTCCTTCCAGGGCGCGATTCCAGAATTCCCGGCTGATTCACGATGGCATCCACCGATCCGTAGGGTCGTCCAAATCTGCTGCTTGACATGATTCCTCAACCTCTCGCTGGCTACTGATGGCTGATTTCTGCTGGACAGTTCCGGGACTCACAAGTCCGACTTAAAAATAATACAAGTGCGATAAATAAGTGCAGATATTATGGGCAGGGCGATACGACAATGACTCAATACACAATCCACGAGCCTTCCGCTCTTACGAATACGTCATGCACTACTATATCCTATGTCCAAGGGTAGCACTCTGTTGACTTTGGTTTTGTTTTATTAAACCAATCCGAGTAATACATTTGAATACATAAATATAAGAATATCTTCTGAAAACTTAAACGTAACATCAAGGTAGATTATTGTATTGCATACTTGTTTGTTTTATGTGTTAGATATATTATGTATAAGACACTCAGTGTACGGATTAAAGTACATGGTTCACGTGGGAGTTCCCTGTTCCCTGTTTCACTGTGCATCGTTGTAGAGGTACAAAAAATTCATAAAGGAAGCAGTTATTCGTTGAAGATTGCGGCTGTGGCAAAGGAGCGAAAATGCCAACGTGTTACTTAAGCGTAGTAGATACGAATATCCATCCCGGCAATGTCCATTCGGGGGACACCTGAGCGTGTCCTTAGCATTAACAAAGATTCCAGTATTTGTATTCCATTTTCATTTTTAAGCATTTGGTAGAGAGTCGTCAGCTTTGGCCATCAGCGGACTAGTACGCGGTGCAGAGACCACTGCAACAGCAGGCCTCAGATTGTTAGAGCATGCCGGGTCCGTCGGTCTCTCGGTTGCCGGACTTCTCAAAGAACATTGCATCCTGGGTGGGGGCAAAGGCAGGGAAAGATTCACATTAGTATGTCTGATTGGTTGATCGGTTGCAACGCGGAGCGGTGCGGGGCTAGCCTAATCGAACAAAGCTGGACTTGGACTGGATCGGGCTGGGCGCACAACGACCTTACCTCAGCACCAACGTAGCCTGCGTCGCACCCGCTTCGCAATCTTAGGCCGACAAAAGTGAACGCTGTACAACTGAGTTGTGGCAAGCCCATTTCATCGATTAGAGCGGCAAGCCTCAGCGTCAGCAACGGAACTACTTACAATCAAGAATGTGGCGCCGAGGAGGACCGCCTTCATGCGCACATCCAGGTCCAGGGGGAAGCTGATGCCGAAGAAGTCGGCATCCGTGAAGATCTCACGCGCCAGTCCAGACCACTGCTTCGAGATCTTGCCAATTTTCTCGCCAGTCAGCGACACCACCTGAGGAGGGGAGCAATTCGAATTCGAGTAAAGAAAGTGTTCAGTAAACCCAATGGAAAATCAAACCCACATTGAACTCCACGTCGCCGCAGAGGGAGTAGGTGCACAAGGGGCCCTCAATGCGCAGCACTGTGTCCCCGATGTGGTTGAGGATGCGGAACGAGGGCGAGCAGATGGACCACTCCTGCTCGATGGTGCCGATCACGTTACCGGGCGGCGCCGAGACCTCAATGCTCTGCAGGCAGCAGGGGAAGCAGCAGGCCGAACAGGCCAGCGGACGGTGCATGTGGATGACCTCCTGGCGGTAGTTGTCGAACACCTTCATTTCGAAGGGTCGCGACGGACCGCAGCAGTTGCGCGTGCAGCAGTCGTTGTCCTCCACCGCGTAGTACACCTTCTGGCCAAGCGCGTTCTTGATGGAGAACTTGTTGTTGGTCTCGAAGCCGGTGAAGGCCTCGAGCAGCTCCACCTTCTGCTTAACCAAAAGCTGGTCGATAGTCGTAAGGTATTCCAATCCGCGCGGACAGTTCGGAATTCCGGCTGGTATACTCATCCAGTCGCCTAGAACAGGGCGGAATCAATTAGAGTTGGTCTTCGCGTAATCTTACGTCCCAAATTGAATCAACGCGCACAAAAGGCACATCTTGTTTATCTCGTTGCCAGTGTGTCAATTGGTCAATGTCGCCACACAATTGCTGGCCCCACTAATTGAAGGCCTCACAGCAGGGGAGGCCCAGCCCCAGTGCACGGCCCATTGTTCGACTTCAAGGCACGTATCAAGGCTTTTGTATCTAATCTCTGCGAAGAAGATAAGCTTTATGGCAAAATCTCATGTGCTCTCCCCCCCGTTAAACCTCGAATTTCATCATTAGAGCAACACATCGCACGAGAAGCCTGAATGGGTTCTAATTGATTGATTTTAGCTAGTTCTGGTCCTAAGAGTCGCCCAAAGAAGGAGTACTGGGTACTGTACTGGGTGGTTCCATCCAGCTCACCTTCTGTCCTCTTCGCTTATGTAGTAGTCGTAGCCCTTTCGCTTGGCGGACTTGTTCAGACGCATCGTGTGTCGCAGCTTCTTGGGCAGCGGCTTGTTCGCCTCTCGGCAGACCAGCTGCTTGAGCGTCTGCGATCTGGAGCAGAGGTGAGTGTACTTGCTGTAGATCGTGTGCCAGATGAGGCGTATCACCTTTGAGCCGCCGCTAACACCGGCGCCTCTCTGCTCCCCATGCTCGCCGCTCAAATCCAATGTGGAAATGTAATTTGAGGCAGCACCTGGGGCAGGGACTGCGACTGCGACTGCGACTGATTCTCCTGCGGTTGACATGGCGAACGCGATTGAATGACGACCACTTGCAAAGCTGTACAGAGATGAACTGAGCCGTCTGGCACCGTCCGAGCACACAAGTTGACATCTACCGAGGCTGTGTGTGCGTTTGTGTGTGCGGAAAATCAACGTAGTCTACATAGTCGAGCGTTTTAAATGCCGCTTTGTGTTACTTTATTGGTCCAATTAAGGCTTCCCGATAAGCGTCGGGCTCCGCACGGAGCCGTTGAGTTTCGGACGGACATCAGAAGAGCAAAGAACACTCTGACAATGACGGCAGGCAAACGCATCTCATCTATGGACCTGATAAGCACAAGAGCCCGCCGAATCTCTCGGGGCTAGGCAAATATTTACCCACGGCATATTTCGGTTTTTCAGTTTAGTGTTAGATCGAACACTTTGTTCTGCCCCGATTCCCCACCTCAACATCCACGAGCGGCTTTCTGCTGCGATTCTGGATGATGGGTTCATTGGATGCGGCCCCGGAGAACGTTAACGGTACTTTAGCTGATTGGACAGTATCGCGAGTGGCGGTGCATTGACACGGCACGTAAACAAACAGAGATGCGGCTGTATTGATAACTTGCCTCCGCCCATTCCGGGTCCCATGCCCGGCTGCGGCTGAGCGGGCGGCATTCCTGGCTGCGTGACAATCGGCTGCTGCGGTGCTCCGGCCGGACCCGGTGGATATCCAAAGTGCTGCGGCGGTCCCGCCGGCCCGGGGGCATAGCCGAAGGACTGCTGCGGCGAAGGTCCTCCTCCGCCTCCGCCTCCGCCCATATATGGCGGCTGTCCTGCCCCATAGGGTGGTGCCTCTCCGTAGGGCGGCATCTGTGGCACTGGAGCGTAACCCTGTGGCTGCTGGCCCGGCACAAAACCCTGCAAACACAAAGAGTAGAGTCGAGTGAGGAATGCTCAATGGGTGGGCGTTCTGCGGAGTACTTTGTTCCGTTCGTAAAATCTATTAATAATTTGTTCCGCTTATCAAGTTCTATTCGCTTAGGATCGGGGGAAACAAAAGCAAATGAAACGTGTTAATCCTGTTTCTGGTTTCTGCTGGGGCTCGACCTCGAACCTTTCTCTTCACCGTTCCGCTGCTTTCTGACCAATAACTTTTGTATAATCACAAAAACTAAGCGTAGGACGCTTCCACTTGATAAGCCAGCCCCGTGCAGATTGGCTAATAGCTGTGTTAATATTTACAAACGACAAGCAATGATTGATACTGAAGATTCCTGAGGTATGACGTCATGGATGTGACGCCCCCTAGTCGGTCTCTGGGGACAGACGGCCCCGTGTCATGACTCACGTAGTTCATTGGCGGCTGTCCCGGCGGCTGGTGGTGCGGCGATGGTGCGTACGGATGATTTGGGGCCGCTGGCGGAGGATAGCCGTAGCCCTCGGCTGGCGGTGCGTTTGGCTGGTATCCAGCCCCGAATCCCGGCGGCACGTAGCCCCCCTGGTTCACGTTGCTGTGCATTGTCTCCTCTGATGTTCTCCTTGTGCGTTGTTCTTGCTGCCCGACTGCGGCGTTTTCGTTGCCACGCCCCAAACGAATTCGCAAACAACGCTGCTTTATTTTGCTTTTGTTTTGCACGCACTTTCTTCGTTTTTAATTGCGAGATTATTCGATCAGCTGGCTGTTGTTATCATTATCGACCTGTCGATTTATCGGTCAAATATACCGAAGTATATTTTCAAAATATACCGATAAAAATATACCAAAATATAACCACTCAACAGCCCCTGTATTTAAACAGGTGAACAGCTTGTGTTTAAACCGCGAAAAATTAGTACTCCATCCACGATATGTCTTTCACTTGAACTTTGCTAAAATTCTTAAACTTTTACAATTTTCGTTGAGAGGTCTACTGGTCGGGAAATCTAATTCCTCGATTTTGATATTCGTTTTAGTATTATTAGCTAATTAGGAGGGCTAGGGGCCTTAACACATAATTTTTTACGATTGATGAATCATTTTTTCACATGAAAATCGCAGCCAATGACTGCCGCATGTTCTCTCGCTCTTTCAGTCTTATGTATCGGCTGAAAAAAAACATGGAAATAAAGAGAGGAATTATTGCACTCCGTTTATCCCGTTTCCACCTATTTTATTCGAATTTTAAAATATTTTATCTTTTCCATTTTTCCGCAACATCTCTCTCTCTCTCTCTCACTGTTCACACCAGCCGTTATAACTCTCTTTCCTCCGCCGGGAGGGGCATGGCTCACGACACACTGCACGAGGAAGAGTGTGAGAGCGAGATGTTGCCTTCCTGCTTCAAAATTTAAAATCTGCCGCGCACCGCTGTGGTTGCAATTTTGTGTTATCGATTATTCTTTTTGCTCTTTGCTCGCGGATAACAGGTGACGCCGCCATGTTGTTGCTATTGACCCATAGATGGCGCTAGGCGTCAATACGTCTGGCAGCCCGGATCGCAGCCCAGCCTCCCATGGTGTTATGACATTATACTTTGCTGCAAAGAGAGAGACGAAATGAGAGAAAGAGCGCAAAATAAGTGGTCGTAGCCAGACACCTAGACACCTCTTCCGGCTATCAGGCTATGAACTGTGGTCCTATTTGTGGCAAAATCATGTTTTCCAACACACACAGCCAGCCAGTCAGCTAGTAAAATTGGATCTGAAAAGTGTAACAATCGAACGGCAGCAGTGCTCCCAGCTGTACCGGAGAGCCAAGATGGCGCATATATTTATACCGCTCTGTTTTCAGAGTTAGTCAGTCGGAATAGTTTTATGTCATAAGGCACGAATTGATTTTTTAGTTAATATAATCGTTTTGAATTTTGCTCGCACTTGTCATGAAAGATGGGAAAAACCTAGGTCGAGAATAAGGAACCAAGACCGCTAGTTATGTTCTAAAGTCTAATGTCATATGGCCACTGCAACCACAAATCACTCGCCGATCTGGCAACACTTACGAACTCGACTAGTCCGGCAACTCTACAGCCTCGACTATCACGCACAGTGGGACATTCGACCATTTCAGCTTTCTAAACTTATAACTTCTGAACGAATGAATTCTTGTTCATGAAATAAACTGCCTTTAAAAGGGAAATCTTCCTAAATTTAAACTTCACAAGCACATGGGGCTGGGTTGTCTAGAAGCTTTACTATACCTTGTCAAATTTGAACTATGTTGCCATTGCATATTTCCCAAAGTAAAATGTACAATTTGTACTTATTTCTTGATCGATAAAATGGTGTGATTTTAATCTAGATATTTTAATCTAGAAATTTTAATGCTAGATACCTTCGGCATTCTTTCAAAAATTGTAATGATTTTTTTCTTATTTTTTTGGTAACTAAAGTCACAAAACAAAAACTCACAATGCAACAAAAATTTAAAAACAAAAAATTTCTAAGTTTCTAAATTGTAGAAAACTTTAACTTTGGCTCGATATAATTTTGGCCTAGCCTATCCTATACTATGAAACGTCATTCAATCATCAGCTGTATTGTAAGTGCGCAAAGACACAAAATGGCGGTTTTTAAATTTTAAATAAAGATTTTGGGTTTTTGGGGCTGATTTCCGGGTCTTAATACTATTGGGTCTAAGTCTTTCCGACCCCATAAAGTACATACATACATATATTTTTCATCTGCATCAAGAGCCGAGACGATATAGCCATGTCCTTCTGCCCGTCTTTCCGTCCGTCCATCTATCCGTCTAGTTTGACGCCTAGTTCTCCGTGACTATAAAAGCTGGATCAACAAAATGTTGTATCCAGACACCTTTGATATCACACTAACGAAAAGGCACAAAAGACTGAAATATATTGCATCCAAAATTTGAAGATACGAGAAAACCAATCGTAGAATCGTCGGGAATGGCCTAATCGCGGATCAGATCGGGTCTTTATTATAGCCAGAATGAAGAAATAAAATTGCAGTGGCTACGCAACCCCCAGCGCCAGCCCTCCCTTTCTCACTCTCCACTCTTCCTCGTGCAGTGTGCGTCCTCCGGCGAGATAAAACAGCTGATGTAGGTATGAGAGTAGAAAATAGGAGACAGATGTATGTAAATACAAAATATACAGAAAAATGGAAACAATAAAATCTTATATACATATGTATAAAAATCTCACAAACGGCTCGATAGATATTTATGAGATTTGGTTTGGTAAAAAATTAAATCGTATATTAAATAAAAATGCTCACATATGTATAGACTGAGTACCGGGTATAAAAGTCCCAACGTTCCCCATTTTATTTTATTTTATTATATATCTACCACACAAAGAAATTAATCTTATTATATTATGAATTATGTACATATATGTATAAATATTTATTAAATTTAAATTAAATTTATTTATTAAATTTAAAATATTAAATATTAAATTTGTAAAATTTTTTTTTTGTTAAATAATTGTTAAAACTGTTATTTTTAAAAACCTATTACGAACATGGTAACCATAAAATAAAGAAATACAAATTTGTTCTCCTTTCGGTTAGAGCGTCTTTCGGGTATAACGAGTGTCATTATAACCGGACTCTACTGTATTTTATTAGACATTTTTTTGAATCTTCTATTTCTTGGCCTTCTAGTTAGAAGTCTGGCTAGTAGATTGGGCTGCGTGTAGTTGTATAACATACCTACCACCATAGAATCCCTTGGATCTTTTTCGATGTCCTTATATCGAACGTACTAGAAATCATTACATATTTTTCTTTAAATTTTTGACTAGGCAACTCCCCCAGCATATTTCCATCTGGGACTCGACATAGACTTGCTTTCCAGCTTTAGCCATAACCGACCGCTGAATCACAATCAAAATGAGACCAGAAAAAAGATGCTGAACCAAAGGCTCTACCAGGGCTATAAACAGAGGATCAATACTACTAAAACTATCTCTCGAAATTAACCGAATACACCACGGACCAAGCTGCTGCCATCCGTCATGCAGGGCCACCGCACGTGCTTCAGGAAGGATATTCAGGCATCAGCAGCAGATATGTTATATGTGTCCAACCACACGTTACGCTTTCCCCACATGACTTTGCCAGCCAGTTCAGGAAAAGGATGCCGGAGTGTAAGTCCAATAATTGCTCCACATTATATAAAAAAAAATGTAACAAACGCGTGTAATTTTCTAGACTTTAACTGTCGAACAGCAAGGCTAAAGGTTTAAAGTATTTTCCACTTTAAGACAATGCATTTTATTTATTTAATCATTACCCTTTTGTATGATTTGCTTGTTTAACTCGGGTTTTCCCTGTATTATTAAGAGGAAATAAATTTCAAGCATATTTTACACGACAGAAAAAAAGACCATTTTGTATGCCACACACACACACACACACACACACATACATACAAACAGCCCACATTTTTTTCTAATGTGAGGCTGGGCGAAACGCGTCGGGGAGGGAGTGCGAGGGAGAGCGAACTAGCGGGCGGAGGGCGAGAGGGCGGCGTAGTTAGCGCATAAAAATGGCGGTTTCCGACGCAAAACGCAAAACAGATATGGAGAAAAAAATCCACTCCCTGGCAGAGGGCGGGGCGGGTGTTCTGCCAGGGTGAGACGCTGTTGTTGCTGCTGCGGCAGTGCGACAGAGAGAGAGAGAGAGAGAGGGAGGGCGAACAGCACAAAAAATGCTAAAAAAAAATGTGTGTATAGAAAAAAATTGCGAGCAGAATCCACCCCGTGGCAGAGCCGGGGTCCTGGACAGCCAACAGACGTCACTCACTCAAACACACACACACACACACAGGCGCACACACACACTATTGTAATTACCGATACAAATGCAAGGCGAATAATCATCAGCAGGGCTCCCACAGAAAGGACGCCAACCCTGAACCTGGGCAAGGTCCTGGAGCAGATTAAGTCGCTGGGGCCGCTCCAGGGTCATGGAAAGGAATGATAAAAAGAGCGCCTAATGCGCCATATAACGCGATATTCATGCATCTCTGGGGAGCAGAATGGCTGGGTGGCTGGGTGGCTGGCTGGCTGGCTGGCTGGTGGCGCACACGTTTAGCACATTCAATTAGATGGCTTTGTAACAAAGCCACCAGAAGAGAAGGAGCACATAGATACATGTGTATCCATGTGTTGGCTTGGGCAAAAATTCACCAAAAATCAACGGCAAGCATAGACATGTGGGGCTCCCCAATATGAATCATTCAAGAGGCTACCCACGGCGCACCGAAGAATCGCACCGAAGGCTGCTGACTCATTAGCCGGGCCGAGACTTCCTTTCGGAACGAAAGGACCAAAGGCTGCTTTTGGCTATCGCAGAGCTGATCTAATTTATGTGCTTGTCCCTCGGCTGAGGCCAGGCAGCTATCGCCGATGTGTGCGAACGGCGACAATAAATCAAGTTTTCAAGATTCCATCTAATGTCCCGATCGATCAAAACCCCTTTGGCACGCGGCCAACGACATGAAAACATCTGCTCTTTTCGGGGTCCATGAACAGGCTGGCAATAGAGCCATCAGTCGATGGTATTAGTAGGGGCTACGAATAACGAAAATAAGTTAAATAAAACTAAGTCGGAAAGAAATCGCATGCCTGTGATCGACGGTCTTTCGGATCAAGAAAGTTGATGGAACCATTAAAGAATACAAATTCGACGATTGGTGAATGTTTTA